TAAATTATTACTTTTAATTAATCAATTTGGGACTTAAATGACAATAAATGACACTCCTTACCCCAATCAGATAAAACAAGAAGAGAGTTTAAAAGATAGAAAACCATATTTTCTATAATACAACTTAAGAAGAATAAAAAATAAATAAAAAAACATAACCTTAATCCTGATGACTAGAAAATTAAGTAACTAAGGAAGGGAAGAGAATAAGAGATCTTAACTTATAGTCTTCTTCCTCTCCAACAAAATTTAGGTGAAAACGTTAGCCTATTTATGAAATACGAACTTAAATTTAACTAAAATAAATATTCATTTGCTATTGCATATATACATAGATTACAAAAGAGAGAGAAGGAAAGAGTAAAACAAATTTGGTCATGTTTATCCTTACATTAAAGTGTTGACCTCATAAATAATAATAATAAAAATAATAATAATATTAATAATAATGATAAAAAAGGAGTAAGAAAAAATTGTCTCTATGACTTAATGTTTTGAGAGATGAATTTGTATTGAGTTGAGTGTAGTCAATTGCAGTGTTCAGAGAGAAAAGAGACGAGTTTGTTGGTATACAAAGTGATGTGTGGTGGACATAGACTGAGGCATCATCCATCATGCGTCATGCATGATGCATCATCCATCATGCGTCATGCATGATGCATCATCCATCATCCATCATCCATCATCCATGGAAGTAGCATTGGCATATGGTGGTCTGCGAATGGGGGGCCAATGCCTGCCATTAACGTTTCTTCTTGCAATGATGCATCTACTTTGGTGGATAATGCATTGATATTCATATTATCTGTATCAAACACCTTGCATACAAAACTCACACTATAATATTATCTTCACAGTGTAAATGTAATAATATTCCTTTCACATTCTTCAATCATTGTTGTGTTGAGGACCAAAACAAACTCTCTGAACAACGTCACATATATGTATGTAAGAATGTCTGAACCAACTTTATCTTATACCTCTTCTTTTCCATCCAAATTCTCGTTCATACATATATGTCGGTTTTTCTGTCCTTATGTATCTGTATCCTGCTACACGGATGTTAACTACTCCTTTAGAAATTCTTTCGCATAATAATTTACCAAAAATTAATAATTAAGTATAATGTATCATACGTGTCTCAAAATAATGTATTAGTGCAAAATAATAATAATAAATATATAAACAAAACGTATATTTACCTTTAATTTTTTTTAAGGAATTAAAGTATTGAATAAAAATAAAAAGGAATATTTCACTTTCAATCTTGCTCATTTTATCAACAATAGCAGCTATAGTTAGATTCTTTAATTATGGCGTTGAAATTTAGTATTTAACATGCATGGAGAAAGACTTTATAGAAAACACCAATTTTTATTATTTATAATATATATATGTTCCTTTATAAATTACTCTAAAATATAATTGTTTTATCTATATATGACACAAATGGTTACTCTTTTTATAAGTTTTTCAATCGATTTTTATTGTTTTATATATTTTTTTATCAAATAAACAGAAAATAATAATTTAAATTATATTTTAAGAAACTCATTTCTTTTATAATCTTTTAATTCTAATATATAATAATAATTCAAGTTATTTTAAAAAAAAT